TTTATGTAATTTTAGAACTTAGATAAATAATTATTTATTTTTATTGCATTGACAACATACCAATTAGATTTGAAATAAATATCATTTTTAAAAGAATACATACCAATTTTTATTACTTTATAGTATAATTTATAGTTTTATTTGATATAATTTAATTTAGTTTGATAAATAAATTTAAATTTTATTTATAAGGATATATATTACTGTTTTGTATTATATATATATATATATATGAATAAATAGTAAAATACAAACGGACTTCATAATATCAATTCAAATGCAACACACTAATTAAATTTTTTTTTCTTGGTAATATTTAACCCTATTTAATGGATGTTATGGGAAACGATGTAGATAGGATATGAAGAGACACTGTGTATTAGATGGAAGGTTAAAAATAGAAAAATATGAACAAAATATCTAAAACGACATTTATTTTATCAATGATCAATTAAGTCAAAGTGACAAATAATAAAAATAGGAGGGAGTATATATTATTATATATTTTAGTATGACACATGTTAATTGTGCGACTTATATGTGTTATATTATAATAAACTTTCTATCTTATAACATATAAATACATTAAACATAAATATATTAATTGATAAATAATTTTATTTTTTAATTAATTTTAATAAATAATTTTATTATTATTATAATGATAAATATAATTTATTATTTTATATATACAATATGGATGTCAAATCGAAGCTCATCAAAAGATGATTAATTTGATATATTATATATGTAAAACCGATATGAAATACAAAAGTTATCAACTTTTAAAATATATTTCCAATTCAATGGTTATAATAGAAAATTATATTAAAATACAATTAATACACATATTAATTTATATCCAAGCCTAACTCTAAAGCATGAAATTTTGCCAAATAGGATTCTGAAGCATGAGAGTTTACCACGTAGGATCAACACATTCTGAAATTATATATTGAGGGGATTACACGGGTGTTGAATTAGAAAACTTTTGTAAAAAATTAAATTTTTTATTTTTTTAAAAATTAAAATAATTTAATTTTATATAAAATATTACTTTGGGTTTTAATTAAATTGTCAAATTATATTTTTTAATCATAATAATTAAACACCCGTACATTAAATGATAAATAATTTTATTTTCTAATTAATTTTAATAAATAATTTTATTATTATTATAAATATAAATATAATTTATTTTTTTTATATATATAATATGGATGTCAAATCGAAGCTCATGAAAAGATGATTAATTTGATATATTATATATGTAAAACCGATAAGTACAAAAGTTATCAACTTTTAAAATATATTTACAATTGATTATAATAGGAAATTATATTAAAATACAATTAATACAAATATTAATTTATATCCAAGTCTAACTCCAAAGCATGATTTTTTGCCAATAGGATTCCGAAGCATGAGAGTTTGCCACGTAAGCTCAACGCATTCTGAAATTATATATAGAGAAGATTATCGATATTATTTACTATTATTAAGTAAAAAAATATATATTAAATAAATAGAAATAATATGGTGATATGTATATGCATAAGTGCATAAATATGTTTGTTTAATATTAAGCAAAATAGATTAATTTTTACTTAATTAGATGTCTAATACATCAAGTGTAGTATCCGTTGTGCTTCACAGCTTTCTAACTTTATATATAATTCTAGAATTTAGATAAATATTTATTTATTTTTATTAGATTGATAACATACCAATTAGATTTGAAATAAATATCATTTTTAAAAGAATACATACCAATTTCTATTGCTTTATAATATAATTTATAGTTTTGTTTGATATCTTTTAATTTAGTTTGATAAAAAAAATTTAAATTTTATTTCTAAGAATATATATTACTATTTGGTATTATATATATATAATATGGATGTCAAATCGAAAATCGCTAAGAGATACTTAATTTGATATATCATATATAAAATATAAAATACAAACAAAAAAGTTATAAAATCTTAAAATAAGAAGAAGAAACATTTATAATAACTGATGAATGAATTAAATAAGAAAATAAAATGTAATGTATGGTAATATAAGGAAAAGAAATATAAAATAATTTATGGTAACTAATTGTAGAAGTAAAGAAGGAAAAAATCAATCATGGATTTAGTGTGATAAAAAATATTAATTCATATCCAAGCCTAACACCAAAGCATGATTTTTTGCCAAATATGATTCCGAAGCGTGAGAGTTTGCCATGTAGGCAACCTATTCTGAAATTATATATAGAGGTGAAGGTGATATGATTTGAGTATGATATATCATTAATATCGATGTATACTCTTTTTCTTTTCATTTTTCTTATTAAGAATTAATGTTATTTCTTTTGAAGAACTTAATAACATTTATATGTGTTATTCTTTTTAAACCAATTAATAAATGATTTCTTAAAATAGTATCGCTATGTATAAAGTAGTATCACTATTAATTAGGCTATGTTTGGTAAAACTAACTGATAAGCTAGCTTATAGTTTATCAGTAATTTTTTAGCTTATAGCTTATGACTTATAACTGAAAAGCTACTTTATATGATAAAAGTGTTTGGTAAAATTAGCTGATAAGCTAGTTGAAATAAAAATTTCAACTAGCTTATTTGAAAAGCTACCCAAAGAAGCTTATCAAATAAGTTCGAGCTTTTTAAAAAAGCTCGTCCTACCAAACGGAGCTTATTTAAAAACAGGGAGCTTATAAGTTAACCAAATAAGCTATGAGCTAGCTTATTTGTCTACCATACATAGCCTTAATTATGAAAATAACATCACTTACTCAAAGGTCGGTTGGCCGAATTGGGATGGATATTCAGCCCATTGTTAGTAATTACTGTCTATAAGGATGTTTGGTTCAGGCAATCCAAGCCCGTAAAGGAATGGCTCGTTATGATGTAACTCTTAAAACCTTAATACTAATCTAGCCCTACTCGTATGATACCATATAAGCTCATGTATGCCTAAATGTGTCATTACCATCTTACCCTCGCATAAAACAAGAAAATTTCTCAGGCTATGTTTGGTAAAAATGGCTGATAAGCTAGCTGATAGCTGATAAGCTAGTTTATGTAATTTCAGAACTTATAGCTGAAAAGCTGACTTATATTGATAAAAGTGTTTGGTAAAATTAGCTGATAAGCTGGCTAAAATAAAAGAATCAACTAGCTTATTTGAAAAGCTACCTAAAGTAGCTTATGAGATAAGCTCGAGCTTTTTAAATAAGCTCGTCCTACCAAACAAGACTTGTTTAAATACAGAAAGGTTGTAAACTAACCAAATAAGTTATAAGCTTTTTATCATTATTGCAGTTTAAAATTGTGGGGACACTAGAAACAACTGGGAACAACAACCAATTAATGAGACAACAATGGGGAGACGAGGGTCGTTGGAGGTGGAGCCGCCGAGAGGAAGAATGTCTAATTACAACTCTAAAATAAATGATAACAGCTGGATAATCGGAAAATGGTTCCAAGGTCGCAATTGAATTGACCGACCACCGCCGACCGCAGCCGCAATCGCCGGTCGGCCGTGTTATTTGTTTTTTTTTTTAAATCAAATTTTTATTTACATTATTTTTGATTAAGTTAGTTTAAATAATTTTATTTTTTCAAATTAATATTAACATGTAATTTAATTTTAATATTAAAAAGATAAAATAAACTTATTTATTTAATTTGTACAAGTTAATAAATTCTAACATAATAATAATAAATTCAACAAGATAATCAATTCTAATTTATAACATAATAATAATAAATTCTATGATAATAATTTTAATTTATAACTTAATAATCTCTAAGTTCTAACATAATTTAAATAAAAATTTGATAAATAAAAAAAAACACGAATTACTGGCCACACAAGGTGCCGGTCGACTCCCCTCCCCTCTAAAAATATCAACCAAACAAGGGCATTTAAAAAGGGTGTTACTAAATACAACTCCATTTTTTACTACTTACTGTTTTTCTTTGGACCGTTTTGTCCCTAGTATTTTTTATTTTTTTTTTAAGAAAAAAACACGACCGACAGGCAATACCGGTTGCACCACGGTCGGTCGGCCAGTGATTGCGGCCGCGCTCGACAGCGTCAGCCAATTCGGCCGCCTAGTCCAGTGGTTGGCCGGATGGGAAACTTGGATGGAGGAGAAATTTTAATGATGAAAAATTACTTTTCTGCCCTTAATATTTTGATTATTTAATTATTTTATCTCTTATATCATGAAGGGAAAAATAATTCTTTTAACATTATATTTTCCTCCCTTTCATTTTTTAACCAAACAAGATTTACAATTTTTCCTCATCTCTCCTACAAAATCCCCCCAAATAACTACATCCCCTCCTTTCCCCTTCTCTCCCCTCCATTAAAATCCTTCCTTCCTTCCCGGCTTCCCCTCCATTGAACCATACATATCCAAGAGTACAACATGAAAATATGACAACCGCAGGTTTAGGTAATTTTACACCATAACACCAATTTCCCTTTTTTTCAAACAAAACAAAACAAATATTAAGGCAAAAAACTGTTTGCCCAATTGATAAAAAATCATTTTATTCATGATTTGACCTGTAAGCTATAGTACATCAGCATCGTGCACTGTTCTAATTTACTATACAAGGCGGAGTAGGACTATTAAGATGAGCCATTCGGCAACAGGTATTTCCGGAAGGCTAATGACAAGTTTATCACTCCCGATTTTGGTGTTCTTAGTTCTGTACATCTTCAGAAAACACGTAGACTGGCAGAACCTGAGGCAGTTCTAACAGTGACAATCAAGGGAAACTTACAGTCCTCGACCGAAGTTATGCCCAATACTCAAATGGAAGCATATTGGTAACTGCAAACAGCTATTGGGAAAACTTTACTTACTATAGATCTCAACAGAAATTGAAAGAAGAAAGATCCTGTCATCACTAACTCACTGAAAGATGGGAAGAAAAGGAAAAAGGGAAAACAAAAAAGAGAGAAGTAAGGGCAAAAGGCATCTCAGTTCAGTGGACTTGAATCTTCAAGTTTGATACCGGCTAACATAGCAAGCTCTGATAACTGCTTCTCTCCACTCATAATCTGCGAAAAATGAGTTAAGTGATTCATTAAAATGGCACAGAAATTCACTAACAAAGTATTTAAGAAAAACTATAGGGCTAACGGACCTGGCCTTTTATTACCCAGGTGGGGAACCCTTCAAGTTTAACATCTGAACAGACTTTCGCCATTTTAGTTCCGGTGCTTACTCCATCAGGGAAACATTCCACATAGTCCAATAATTTTGCTGCTTCCCTCCCAAACATCTGTTATGGTGGCAATCAGAAAACGAATTTAGTTAGCCACATTGACAGATATACTTAATTTGATCCACAGAATAAATAACTTATATGACACTGCATATAGGGTTGCTAGCAAGGAATTTGGCCTAGTTATATTCTACTTCCAAGCCTCAAGCTGCCTTACAAGGGCGAATGTACATATGCACTCCAAATACTAAACAGAAAAATAATCGCCTTTCTAATGGGGCCAATGGAGGCGTTTTCCAAGAGAAACCCAGCATGCTCAACAAATATTTTCTGCACTAGTCTTTTTAATTTAATTTGGCTAATCTAAATTGGTGCAGTTGCAGGTAATCCTCTTAACCAGGATTCCGTGCTTCAATCAGCATAAAAAACAATTCTTACCGTCTTACAACTCTGATTGCTAACTGAACACTGTAACAAGAGATAATACTAATTCTGCTAGATCATAAAATAATCATTATTTGTGATTTAAAGTTAATTAAAGTGACATACTTGTGTACTCTGATAAAGAGGCATCGATCACATTCTAGTTTCCGTGAGTTATTTCTTTCATAGATGGTGAAATGTGATTGGAACACTAAACCATTTGCTAATATCTAATGGATAGAAGGGGTAACTGAATAGTAATACTTCCATTTGCAGTAAATTTACCAGAAGCACTCTTTGTTAATCAATCTACTGCACTGTGCCTTTGAACTTGTTCGATTTTTCTGGATTGCTTTGACCAGCGTCTCAGATATATATTATAAGTCACTTTTGTTTGTTCCAATGAATTTCAAAACTAGAATTCACCAATCCACAAAACAAGCAATGCTTGTACGAACACATCCGACTTTGCTAAACAAATGGGAAATTTTGAAAAGAAAAAGATTGATTCTACAAGCAGCCAACAGTACATTTTGACTGAAAAGTTCAGCAGAATCAAAAGTACCTGTTTCTGATCTAGACAATGCGAACACCAGAAAGCCCCATACAATTTTGCTCCAATGGCACGTAAATGTTTTGCAAGAGCAATAGCCATAGGACTTGATTCTTTTGTGATCTCAGTTTCGAAATATGGTATTTCAGTCTCCGTCATGCTGCTACAAATATAATGAAGTTCAATACAATAAACAGAGGAATGTACATTAGAGCACAAGATTACAATCAACACGAATTATGATGCATCTATTATGCTGCTATTCAAAGGTGTATTCGTATTGAATAATATGAGAATTAACACATTCTAACATACACGTTTCAAGGAATTAGTAACATATCCTAGAATATGGAAAAAGAAAATTATCAAATTAAAAACATGGAAATCAAATATGAACTCTTGATTCTCTAACCTCTGACTTCACTAAATAAATAATCATGAAGGCACTTCAAATAGGTTGGTTTTGAGAAAATTATTTATTAAATTCACCATTAAGTCAGGTTCAATAGATTGTGCCGAACACGTAAATCTTGTGTTGTTTATTTTCTCGTCTTTAATTCGCATTGTCATCGTTTCACAACAATTGGCATCAGAGCCAGGTTGATTGAGCGACAGAATGATTTCTGTCGGGAGTATCGAAATTCGAGGTTTCGAAATTTGATGGTCATGGCAATTTCGGATTATGGCAAACGAGAGTAAAAGATTTATTGGCGCAGCAAGGAATTCAGAAAGGGTTGCGCACAGAGAAGCCAAAGGGGATGGAAGACGATGATTGGCAAGATCTGCAAGAACGGGGGCCGGGATGATTCGGCTGTGCCTTGCAGATGAAGTTATGTATCACGTTATGCATCTCAAATCGGCGGCGGATGAGATCTGGAAGAAATTGGAATCGCAGTTTATGTCGAAAACCCTAACGTCAAAATTGTATCTGAAGCAGAGATTATACGGGCTGAAGATGCAGGAGGGGACCGAATTAGGGCAACATGTGAATATCTTCAATCAGGTTGTCACGGATTTGGCTTCACTCGAAGTCAAGATTGAAGATGAAGACAAGGCGATGATTTTACTGTGTTCGTTACCTCCTTCTTACGAACATATGGTGACTACCCTTACATATGGGAAAGAAACGATCAAGACTGAGGAGATTACTTCAGCGTTGTTGGCTCATAACCAGCGGAAACAGAAATCTGGAGAGTCATCTACTCAAAGTGACAGCTTATATGTGAAGGGTAACCAGGATCGTGGAAGAAGACAGGTACGGGATAATTCAGGAAATCGGAATTTCTGATCCAAGTCGCGAGACAAATTGCAGGGGAAGAAAACTGTGACGTGTTATAAGTGCAAGGAAAAAGGGCACTTCAAACGGGATTGCCCAAACTGGAAGAAACAGACTGTTGAGATGTCACCTAAGTCTGCGAATGTGGTACAAAATGAGGAATCCGATTGCAGTGATGGAGATATGTCATCTATTTCGACTGCGCAATATGATGATGCTTGGATTCTCGATTCTGGATGTTCATATCATATAACGCCTAACAGAGAGTGGTTTGCTACTTATAAACCAGGTAACTCGGGTTCTGTTTTTCTTGGTGATGATAGATGCTGCGGTAATGTCGGTATTGGGGATGTCAAAATCAAGATGTATGATGGAACTGTTAGGACATTATGTGATGTGAGACATATCCCTGAGTTGAAGAAGAATTTGATTTCTTTGGGCACTTTGCATAGAAATGGTTTCATTTCCAAGGCTGATGAGGATAGGGAAACCATTAAGATTGTGAAGGGTGCTTTGACTGTGATGAAGGGGAGGATCACTGCAGGGAACATTTACAAACTGTTGGGAAGTACAGTTGTAGGTGGAGTTCATTCGGTGGAGTCGTCTGAAGATAGCACGAAACTGTGGCACATGCGACTTGGACATCTTAGTGAACATGGCATGACTGAACTGCATAAGAGGGAGCTTCTGCATGGTGTTAAAACTTGCAAACTCAATTTCTGCAAGTTTTGTGTTCTGGGAAAACAGACGAAAGTCAGTTTCAAGACTGGCAAGAAGAAGACAAAAGGAATTCTAGATTATGTACATTCAGATGTGTGGGGTCCTACTAAAGTGACATCGATGGGTGGTTCTGTGTACTATGTGACATTTATTGATGATTTTTCGAAGAAGGTTTGGGTGTATTTCATGAAGCAGAAATCTGAAGTTTTTGCTAAATTCAAGCTATGGAAGGCTGAGGTGGAGAACCAGACTGGTAGGAAGATCAAGTACTTAACGTCTGATAATGGTACAGAATACACCGATTCACAGTTCCAGAAGTTTTGTGAGGAGCATCGGATTCAAAGGCATTTTACAGTGCGTAAAACACCACAGCAGAATGGTGTTTCTGAGAGAATGAATCGAACACTGGCTGAGAGGACGAGGTGTTTAAGACTGAATACGGGATTGTCGAAGAGTTTCTGGGTTGAGGCTGTAAGTATGGCTTGTTATTTGATTAACAGATCACCACGTGCATCTCTGGATGGCAAGGTTGCAGAAGTATGGACAGGTAATGATGTTAGTTTTGATCATCTGAAGATTTTTGGTTGTCCTGCTTATGTTCATGTTCCTGCTGATGAGAGGTCAAAACTGGATGCTAAATCAAAGAAGTGCATTTTTCTGGGCTATAAGAAAGGTGTGAAGGGATACAAGTTTTGGGATCCAGTTGAGAAGAAGACGGTGATTAGTAGAGATGCAGTGTTTGATGAACAGTCTATGTTGGGATCAGATGCACAAAAGGTTCAAGTGGAGTTGGAACATGTTCCAGCAGTTCTTGATAAGGGAGATAGTTCGACTTCTGCACCTGATGATGTTGATCATGATGTTTCTGGCACAAGTGATGTGTCAGAGAGCTACAAGCTAGCTCGGGATAGAGTGAGGCGTACCAATATACAAGCTCCGGTCAGGTTTGGTTATGAGGATATGGTGTCATTTGCTCTTACGATCACTAGTGTGGATCCTGATACTTTCTAGGAGGCTGTTTCATGTGAAAATAGTGATAGATGGAAGGCTGCCATGGAAGAAGAGATGAATTTTGTGCATAAGAATCAGACATTGGAGTTGGATGTTCTTCCAAAAGGGAAGAAAGCCATTGGTTGCAGGTGGATTTACACAAGGAAGTCATCGGTAACAGAAAAAGGAGGGGAAAGGTTCAAGGCTCGATTGGTGGCCAAAGGATACTCACAGCAAAAGGGGATTGACTATGATGAGACATTTTCTCCTGTGGTTAGACATACCTCGATCAGGGCTGTACTTGCATTGGTGGCTAGTTGGGATTTACATTTAGAGCAGCTGGATGTGAAGACTGCTTTCTTGCATGGTGATCTCGCAGAGTCTATTTACATGCAGCAGCCAGAGGGTTTCGTTCAACCAGGAAAGAAGCATTTATTTTGCAGGTTGAAGAAATCCTTGTATGGCTTGAAGCAAGCATCGCGGCAGTGGAATATACGGTTTGATTCGTATATGATGAAGATTGGCTACAAGCGTTGTGAGTTTGATTGATGTGTTTACACTAAGAGCCTTGGTGATGGTTCTACTATTTTTCTGTTACTTTATGTTGATGACATGCTTATTGCTGCTAAGAATACGCGTGATATTGTTGATCTGAAGAGCCTTTTGAGTCAGGAATTTGAAATGAAGGATTTGGGGGCTGCGAAGAAGATTCTTGGGATGGAGATTCACAGGGATAGAGGATCAAAGAAGTTGTGGTTATCTCAAAAGGGTTATGTGGAGAAGGTGCTACAGAGGTTTGGGATGAATGAAGCAAAACTGGTGGGCCTCCATTAGCAAACCACTTCAAGCTTTCTGTTGATCAGTGCCCCAAGTCGGACAAGGAGACTCAGGATATGGTGGAGATACCTTATGTCAGTGCTGTTGGATGTCTGATGTATGCCATGGTATGTACTCGTCCTGATTTAGCTCATGCTGTTGGTCAAGTTTGCAAGTATATGTCTAGGCCGGGTAAACAGCATTGGGAGGCAGTCAAATGGATTTTCAGATATTTGAAAGGTACTGCGAGACATGGTATTGTGTTTGGAGATCAGCGGTTGGATCCTCTGGTTGAAGGATATGTGGATTCTGATTATGCTGGGGACTTGGATAATAGGAGATCTACCACTGGGCATGTCTTCACTTTTGGTGGAGGGCCTATTTGTTGGAGGTCGAATACTCGGCCTATAGTTGCTCTATCTACAACTGAAGCTGAATATATTGCTTTGGCTGAAGCGGCAAAGGAAGCAGTGTGGCTTGCTGGATTGGTTAGAGAGATGGGTATTCAGCAAGGTGGAGTTCTATTGTATTGTGACAGTCAGAGTGCTATTCATTTGGCTAAGAACCAAATATATCATGCTAGGACGAAGCATATTGATGTGAGGTTCCACAAGATTAGAGAATGGATTGCTTCTGGAGATAATCAGTTGGAGAAAGTTCATACTGAAGAGAATGCTGCTGATATGTCGACTAAGACTGTTACTTCTGACAAATTCAAGCATTGCTTGGATTTGTTGAATGTTTCTGCATGCTAGAGTTGCATGGTATCCCCGGCCTGTTTGGTATGTCTCGCAGAGTTGCTCGCTATTGTGTTCTCCTAAGGAGGTGATATATTCGCCAAGGTGGAGATTTGTTGATATGGCTCATATATTGACAAAAGAAGGAGGCAGGCTGATGCCTGCGAGTGGAGCGAGCTTAGCGAGGGAGTGGAGCGTCCGAGCGGAGCGAGGGAAGCGGAGCGTCCGAGCGGAGTGAGTGGAACGACCAGTATTTATGTAAATTTGGAACGAGCAGCATTTATATAGTACGGGGTCTTTATGTAAATTTATACCTTGTAGGGTTATGATATAAATACATGGTGTATTGATGTATTTGGAAAATCTGGAATAAGAAGATCACTCCTCCGCCGTGGACGTAGGCACATTGCCGAACCACGTAAATCTTGTGTTGTATATTTTCTCGTCTTTAATTCGTATTGTCATCGTTTCACAACAGATTGTATGTTTAACTTGTTACATAGTTCCTCAAAGTTGGATCCTAGGGTCGACTTTGTCAGGACATCTACAAGCTGTTTTCAAGTAGGCTGGTTGGTAGACATAGCGCATGACCTACCTGAGTTATTGGCCAAGTGCAATGT